AGGATGAAAAGTGCTTCAGAAGTTGGGCAAGGATCTTGACTTTAGAAATGCAAAGCCATGGTTTGTATATGGTTTGACTGTAACTCCAAGTCTCTGTGAAGGAATGCTATATGGGGATTTTCATGGTGTTAGCAGTGGGAGTTACTGTAACACTCAGAAGATAGTGGTGAGTTAAAGGAACATAGTGTGCTCAGAAAGAACTGGTGCATTTCTTGTGGGATCCTGGTTAGGTCTCAAGACTGGAGGAAGGGCTTGGATTGCCTCTATCTTGGTAAACTTGATTGTCATTTTCTCTCTGGAAAAATGTGGAAATTTTTTTTACATATCAATAAAAGATCCCCCTCTTTCCTCCTCCCACCCTTCAGACTCCCCTCACCCAACCCATTCCCTCCTATAAGAAGGCAAGGCCTCCCATGGGGAGGTACATTCAATAGAAGAAAGTCCAAGCCCCTCCCCATGCCTCAAGGCTGTTTGAGATGTCACATCATAGGTAGTGAGCTACAAAAAACCCACTCATGCACCAGGGATGGATTCTGATCTTACTGCTAGGGGGCCCCTCAAGTAAATCAAGCTACATAACTGTCTTGCTACACAGAGGGCCTAGTTCAGTCCCATGCAGGCTCCACAGGTGTTGATCCAAACTTCGTAAGTTCCCACTAGTTTGGATTGGTCATCTCTGTAGGATTCCCCATTATGATTTTGCTGTTCTTGCTCATAACATCCCTTTTCTCTCTTTTCAATGGAACTCTTGGACCTCTTGGTGTTAAATTGTGGAAAATTTTTAAAGTACTCAATGGAATTACCTTCTAAACTTTCCATTTGCCCTATCATTTTTTAAACGTTTTTATTTATTATTTGATTTTGATTACTTATTTAGAGTTTTTGGGACAGGGTTTTTCTGTGTTGCCCTGATTGTTCTGGAATTCACTCTGTATATCAGTCTGGCTGTGAATTCAGAGATCTTTGTTGTCTGCTTCCAGAGTAGTGGGATTGAAGGCTTGTACCACCACCACCTGGCTTAATTCCCCTATTATTAATGTTTCTGCTTACTTCTGACACTGAAAATAAAGATGGAATGGTTGCACACAGGTTCTGCTCAGCGAGTTTTTAATACTAATTTTTACTTATCCAAACAAAATTAATTTCATATAGTCATAGAGGTCTAGTTCACACCCTTCTCTAATTAATATTGCCACTGATTCTGTATTTACAACTGTTACCATCCCTATGATACAAATCCCAAATTGATAACATTATCCAAAACACCGGGGTTTTTTTTCAGGCCCATCAAATAATGTTTCATGTCTTCACAATTCTTCATCCTCCACATGTGTGCTTATTCAGGATTTCCTGGGACATTTGAAGGTATTTTAGTCTTCCATGTGTCTTTACTTACACCTGTCTAAAGGCCACTGACTGGCACGCTCTAACTCACAATTCTGCTCCATTTCTGCACCAAAATTTCAACTAACCAATAATCAGCAAAAATCCATAGTTCTACAATATCCCAATTGTCTACTTTGGGTAATAAACCATTTCCCTGAGGGATTCTCCCCACAGACAGACGAAATGATAGTTGACAAATGGATGCTACTATAATCCCAGAACTTGGCAAGCAAAACTATGTCCATGTCTTTGCAGATACTTTATCAATCACGACATGGGCAACAGCTCAACCTGAAGAGTCTGCTATTCATGTCATATCACACTTACAGGCTTGCTTTCCTTTATTGGCATTCCTGATATAATCAAATATACTAATGGCCTTGCATACATTTCTCAAAAAATCCAAATTTGTTACAACATTTTCATGTTACAAATTAAACTGAGATACCATAAACCTCTACAGGACAAGCCTCTGTAGAAGACAAATACTGCACTATTAAATATTGAATTATTACAAGATAAAATCCTTTGTCCAGTAGAGATCCTTTATTCTAATAACTCAAGGGACTTAATGTTATTGATGCCTCCTGTTTGGTAGTCCACCCTATGCTGAGCTGATTCTGTTGGTTTTATTAAATATTACATAATTGGCTGTGGAATATAGGATGAATGTTTACAATATATACACACATGCACACGTGTGTGCTGTTTGACTACCGTTTGCACAGTGGTGAAACGTCAGACATTTATGAAGTAGCTGTGATCATGACAGCTCTGTTATCATCTCTGAAAACAAGGTCATCATTGAAGGGAATTTCCAAACCCCTTTCCCGCTATTGTCATTATACTTCTCTGTCTTCTAATAATGGTAAAAAAAAAAGTCTTTTTTTTCTTGTCAAATATTTGTATCATGGACTTTCTCACCTGAAGAATAATGATCCAATTTACTTCTACTCATGGTAAATCACTCACTTGAGTATTTTTTAGACAGTGTAAAATGACTTATACAGTAATTTACAGAAGAGGGAAAACATTGATATAAATGAGTAAATATTGATGCATCTCAGGACCTTTGTGACTCTTAGAAGCTGAGACAGTTTTGAACTTAGTGCTGAAACAGGTCTGTGTTTCCAAGAATGTATACTGAGTGACAACTCTCCTTAGAGAAAATGAAATTAGATCAACTGTAGAAGAGTCTGAATCTTAGAGATCTTGCTCTGGAAATGACACCAGAACTGCAGCAGAGATATAGGCCATGAATGCTGTCTTGATGATGACATGTAGATCAATGAGTAATAAGCTGATAGAAACTAAAATACCATCTATGCTATAAATAACAAAGACATGTCCGACTGTGTCTATGCTTAAGTCTAGAGGGCAGAACTTTTCTATGATGATTGCACATGTTCTGAGAAAGCAACTGACCTCTGAAATATTTAGAAAGTTCCATAGATTCCTACCTGGTTATTATCAGTGCAGGAAGACAGAAATGGTAAGAAATGGCATCAGTAGTTCAGTAGGCAACTGACCAGAAATTGTTGGGAATTCTCCAGCCAGGTTATTCATGTATATATCAGAAACATAAATAAATGTTTATTTCTTTCCACAATGTCCTCCTGGATTGAATAACAATCAATACACAATGTTGGAGGGGAGATTCTAGTGTGTGTCATTTAAATTTTCTTTAATGAAAAATTTGTCTTTAAACGATACATTCTGATCATTCTTTTTATATTTCCCAACTGCTCCTAAATGCTACTCACCTCTCTACTAACCAAATACAACATGAAACATTCTCATTCTCTCTCTCTCTCTCTCTCTCTCTCTCTCTCTCTCTCTCTCTCTCTCTCTCTCTCTCTCTCTCTCTCATGCACACACATACACTCACTCACAAAAACACAAAATCAGGAAGCAAAATATATAAACATAAGACTAACAAAACAAAAAATGCCTAAATAAATATCATTTCTTCAGTTTTGTATTGGTCTTAGGTATAAGACCTACTGTGAAGTGTGTTTAATACAGCCAGTGATTTTCCACTGAAGTGTCCTAATTTTTCCTTTGCATGTAGGTATCAATTGCAGATAGTTCCTTGGTTACGGTTGAGACTCCAAGAACATTTCCCCCTCTCAGCACTAGAATCCCATGTGACTTCCACCTGTGCAAGCTCCGTGTTTACTTCCACAGTCTAGTGAGTTCGTATGTGCGTCGGTCCTGTTGTGTCTGGAAGAGACTGGTTCCTTGTACTCATGCAATGCCTCTGGCTCTTACAATCATTCTATCCCTTCTTTGCATCAGTCCCTGAGTCCTGAGGGGAAAGTTTGCCTAAGACAACCTATTTATGACTGAGTGAGCCAACATCTCTCACAATCTATAGATTGTCCATTTGAGATTCTCTGTGTTACTTACCATATTCTGCAAGAAGAAGCTTCTCTAAAGATAGTTGTGTGAGGCACAGATTAATGTGCATGTATGGGCATATCATTAGTAATTATCTTATTGTTATATTCCTTTAGCACACTGGTCTTCAACCTTCCTAGTGCTGTAACCCTTTAATACAGTTCTTCATGTTGTGGTGACCCCCAACCATAGAATTATTTTGTTTGCTTTTTCATGAGTATAATTTTTCCACTCTGAGTCATAATGTAATTATTTGACATCCAGGATATCTATATGTGACCCCTGTGAAAGGGTCCTTAGACCTCTACGAAAGGATTGTTCTATCACAAAAGGGGTTGTGTCCCACAGGTTGAAAACCACTGCTTTAGCAGAACATTAAGTTTTGCCATAAGTCCATGATCCTGTCCTGTCTAAGGTTCTAGAACATTCTAGTAGTTTCAGGCATCAGTTACTCATAGAGTGGGCTTTATATCTAATCAAAGAAGGGTTGATTACCCTCACAGTGTCTGTGCCCCTATGGCACCCGCATATCTCACATGCAGATTAACATTGGAGGTGACAGTTTGTTGTTAGGATGATTATTAACTTTCTCCTCTGAGAGCATGCCAAACACCCTCTACTACCATGAACCATTCAGTCAGTAGGAGTGGGGCCTCTTGTTAGGCGCCAACTCGAATTCTCCATGTCCAGTGAGATATGTAAATGTTGTCTTCAGCAATAGGGTGTTACCGTCAGTTTGTGGAGAGCAACCAATAGCCTAAGCAAAAGCCTGGAATATTTTGGGGTTTCCTTGGAGTCACTTTGGCCAATGATTCAGTTTATAAAGACTTATCCAGAAATACCAGTCTTCCCCATATCCAGAAGTTTACTGAAGGAGAATGTTACAATAATTTGGAATCTGCTATTCTGGGGGGATTTAAGGCCAAAACTGAATGGAGCCACAGCTCAAAACCACCAGGGTTAGGGACCAGACACTTTTTTAAAAAAAAAAAAAAGAACATCCTCATTTCTGAACACTTTTTAAAGGGGCCTTGTTTGTATAACAGGAAGCCAGAGATCAGAAACTCAAAGTGAAGAGGAAACCCCAGAGGCTAGCAGGAAAACTTTGCCTGCTCCCAACCCCTGAATTGTAGAAGGAAGAAATGGAGCTGAGAACCACCCTGAACTATTGTACAGCTGTCGACCGAGGCTGCATCAATGTGCTCTCCGAGCACAGTAGTATGTGGCAGTATCTGTAGTGTCCACACTGGTGATCTTGAGGAATACCTGGTTGTTGGAGGTGTCCTTGGAGATTGTGAGCCGGCTCTTCAGGGATGGGTTGTAGAACTTATCATCATCCCACCAAATGTTGGCCAGCCACTCCAGACCCTTCCCTGAGGGCTGACGGATCCAGTTCACACCTATACCAGAAGTGCTCAGTGAAAACCCAGAGAAAGAGCAGGTCAGACTGAGAGTCTGGGAGGACTGCAACAGCCCAGGGCCAGACTCCCTCAGGGTAACCTGAGACAGGACATCTGCGGGAGGAAGAAAACAGAGGGTAAGATTGGAACAGGGTGAGCATATGGAAGTTCATCCCTTAGGGATCCTGGGCACTCACATGCAGGGACAATCAGCAGCAGGAATGAGGAAGCAAGCCTGGCCATGGCTGCACACCAGTGAGTACCCAGGCCCAGCTTTGGCTTTTCAACCTGGGGTTGGGTGGAGCCAGAAGAGATTTGCATTTCCTCTCCAGGTGCTGGCTTTGATGTTAGACATAAGTTTTAGGTCTCAGGAGTCAGTCTGTAATGAGGCACACAGGATTCCTCAGGGGAGTTCATCTCTGCTCCCCATAAAAAGTAGCTTACCTGGTAAGACTCAGGTCCTCAGTACACAACACGTCTGATGAGGATTGTGTGAATGCAGCAAGGAAGAGCATGTGCCATTGGCAGGCTGGCAGTTATGCCGACTGTAAGGGCATGAAAGAGAGTGATAGTTCATTGGCTTTACTAACCTGTCTATTTCCTCCCTCACATATTTGAGATTTCAATTCACTCAACATTAGTAGCTTCATCTTTATACTGCCCTCTATTTCTGACTACTTTAAAAACAGCAGCAGAAAACATAAAGTAGGCAAAGACATGGTTAGTTAGCTCAGTCCTGTCAGATGCTGAGCATCCTGGAGGAGGGGACATAAGGATGGATGATGCTAGAAGTCACAACACATAGGCATTAGGCATTTTCTTCTCTGGTTCAGCGATGTTAAAGCACATGTATTCTTCTTTTTTCTTGTCACTACTGATGCTTTAAAACCTAGGAAGAAAATGACTTGCCTAACTTTAGACATGTTTCACAGTGACATTGTGATATGAACATGAATAAAAACATGGAAAGAAGCTTGAGCTAACTTCCAATTTCTATAAAGACAGCTACATCAAAAATGATGAACTCATTTTTTATGACTAAAACATCTTCTTATTTAAATGTTTAAAAGATAAAGCTATCAAGATGTGTCTGAGCCATAAATATGCACTTACCACAAAGTTGTAGCAGCACTATAAAAAGAAAACAAACACACAGTGCTGAGTGCAGGCTGAGGCCCTGAACCCTTGTGATAGGATGGACAATAAGAGCTGCACTAACACTTTTCCAGGGGGTTTCAAAGTGACAATGACTTTTCATCTGTTATTAAATCATGTATCTTGAAAAAGGAATACATCTGACATTCTCTCCATGGGATTCAAAGATCATCACACATGTCCTCATCAAAGGCAGGCAGTAGAAAGTTTCCACAAGAAGGAAAGGACCCTGGAATGGATGATACAGGGCAAAGTTGCCAAGATTGGATGAATGTGGCAGAGGGCCAGAGATGCAACGACTGCTAGTTCCTGAATATGAGAAAGGCAGGCAGCAGCCACTTGTGAGAGAGAATTTCATTTCTAACCAGTAGCACTGATTGCATTTCAGATGCTTTGTCTATGGACAACATAAAAGTGTGATGTTCTGCCTTAGGTCTGTAATATGAGCTGCAATGGAGGTAGACATTTTTCCTGAATTTTTCAGAAGTACTTGAAGTACTTCTGGTCCAAGGCTAAAAATGTGAAGGAAATTGTGGACTACATGGTACAAAAATTAAACTTCATAAAGTTAATTCAACATTTTTATAAATGTAGATACTAGACATCCTGCCAACGAGGACTAAAAATTAGAAAAAAAATACTGTAAATTTGAAGTAGAATAACTCATCTATTCACAACATTTCTCTGAACTGCTTTATAGGTTGCAAGATTACAAACCTCAGTTATACCCAAGTTGAGAGTTTATTTAGTGTATTTGCAATCAGTGGTGTAGGCGTGACTGGTTCTCCATGTTCATCACTGTGATATGTGAAAAGCACAAGAGAATAAATGTTAGAAAAAATGCAACCATCAATTCATCCTTCACAAATTGTCAAGCACCTCGATTGAAAGTGAGGATATTATTATGTGATTCATGTGAGGAGACCATGTTACGTTTTCATGATGTGAGTAATGGAATTCCACATATGCACAGAGTAGAGTAGCAACCAGACATTCCTTTAGATGACATGTAAAGTCTGCTACTAAAGGCAGGATCTAATCTCTTAAGGTGCAATGTCATATAGCCACTAATAATTGAGTCTGGAATGAAAGAAGAGAAAGTGAATCTCTTAGGAGAAATCACCATTAATTTCAGGATTCTCCATAGTAAGCTGAAATGCTACAAATCCTACATCTGATTTGGTTCTTAACCAGATAATGAAATGTTCTAGGAGTAAATCTGAACACAGTACAGACACCTAGGACATCACACCAGATTGACAGACTCTCATCCTTTAAACACAGAAAGGATAGTGATAAAGCTGATCCCAGGTGAGTTCCAGAGTGCTGTGAACAGATGAAGGTAACCCCTGCATTCAGAGTATTATATGAAACATTGTCAGAATTCATGTGAGAGGGGCAGTGGAATAGTGTAAGTATGAGGATGTCTCAGTTTCTCTATCTTCAGGATCCTGAGTGTGAATGGGGATAGTCTGGATTTACTTTATTTTCTTCTAATCTCTTTTCCCAAGGTACAAACATCATAAATTAGGGCTTGGTATTACCAATTTGACTAAAAACTTTTTCTTTTGGAAAAAATATGCACAGAAAAATGGAAAAGTGAAATCCAAAATGCAGTGAAAGACAGATTATGTTATTAATCCCAACTTCTACCTCTCTCCTTGCTCTGAGCTGAATGCTTCACAGGGCAGTGTATGATGCCTTGCAGGTCTCCTACAGCAGAGCAGCATGGGCTCAACACTGTGGATGAAACATCAAGGATCCCAAGTCACAATCATATATTCCAGCTGAGAAAATCCCTCCTGACAGGGGAAAGCAGTTACAGATAGAATTACAGATGCCGCTGATGATGATCGTGATGGCAATGACTAGATGTATGACACCTCATGTTTGAAAATTTGTAGCCTTCTTCTATGTATATGCAATTGATGTTTCACCTTCCAGTAAGATTCCCACTTAACGACTAAAACAGATATATGAACAATTACCTAACAAAGAATTTTTACTGTACTAAGTTTGGAGTCTTGTCACAGTAGCTACATCACGTGTATTATATGGTCTCTGCAGTTATTTGAGGTTAGAATGGGAAACCTTAGAGTCTCAGAGGACTCCCTCACTCTCCAGATGTTTCTTTCACCAGCTACGTTTTCTGTCCTGGTGAAATTTGGATCTACAGCACCCCCTGCTGGTCCTGAACATCCTCAAAGTGTGGTTGTTTCTGAGCACATAGGGACCCCGCTCACTGTGTCTGCTGCACAGTAATGCAAGGCTGTGTCTTCAGTGGTAGCAGGGTTCATCTTCAGGGAGAACTGCTTCTTGAATGTGTCCACTGACACACTGATGGACTTTTTAGTTACTGTACACCTTCTACAGATTTTATCTTCTTTTCTCTCATGTCATGCAGGCTCTTCCTGAAGGTGAAGAGCCAGGAGGAGGATCTCATCTCCAGAGAGCCAGGTGTTTTGTTTTGTGACCTACTGAATTTAACCAGGGCCCTTAAAGTAACCATGGGAGTAAGACTATTTAATGGAGTCTCGTGGTTTCCTTTTGTTTCTGCACAAGACAGGGTCTCAAGTAGTCCCAAGAACCAGTTGTGCACTGAGACTAACCTTGACCTGCTAATCTTCCTTGCCTACACCTCCTAGGTGCTGGGAGTTTGACCTTCTTTCCAATAAGCTAGATTATCAGAGGAAACAACATTTTACTCTATTTTACTTTGCAATTCATTTTGTGCTTATGAGTGGCTGTTTTCCTCCTTGTGTGTGTGTGTGTGTGTGTGTGTGTGTGTGTGTGTGTGTGTGTGTGTGTGTGTGAAATCAGTGCACCATGTGCATGCTTGATGCTTGTGGAGGCCAGAAGAGGCTGTTGGATGCCAGGGAAGTAAAGTTACAGATAGTTTTGAGGTGATATGTGGGTGGTGGGAACTGAACCCAAGTACTCAGGGAGAGCAGCCAATTCTCCAGGTTCCTGTATTTCCATTTAAATTAAGGTTTTAAGGAAGTACATGCAACTTTCATATGCATGTTCCTTATACTTAGGAATATATAAGGAATTCTAAGTATACGTTCCTTATACGTATACTTAGAATTACTTCTGATTTTTTCAAGAGAGAAAAATATTGTATAATTTGACTTGATTTAAAAATGCCTCACTCCACATTGTTAACATTTTCACTTTAATTGAAAATATATTTTTTTCATATAATATATCCCCATTATGATTTCCCCTTCATCTATTCATTCAAAAGTTCCTTCCCACCACAACCCCTTCCATCTGGATCCATCCCCTTTATGTTTCTCATTACAAAACAAGCTGGATTCTAAGGGTTAATAATAAAATGAAATAAAATAAATTAATTTAAACAAAAACACATTGTAATTGGACAAAACAAAGAGAAGGAAAACACAAAAAACAGGTATACACAAGAGACATACTCACTACACACTTGGGAATCCCATGAAAACACATATCCAGAATCTATAATATATATGCCAAGGACTAGTAGACAGACAGAGAGAGAGACAGAGACAGAGAGAGAGAGAGACAGAGACAGAGAGAGACAGAGAGACAGAGAGAGACAGAGACAGAGACAGAGAGAGAAGTTGGATTTTTCCTGTGGTCTTGGCCAGCCCCAAGGTCCCACAGTCGCTTATAAAATAATCATTCAGAGGCTTAATACTAATTACCAATGGCATGGCCTATGGCAGGCTTCTTGCTAGCTAGCTCTTACAACTTGACGTATTTCTATTTATCTGTAAGTTGCCATGTGGCCATGGCTCACCAGTACTTTCACATCTTGCTTCTCCTGGTGGTGCTGGCATCTCTGCCCTCTGCCTGTCTTTTTCCTGTTTCCCCAGTTCGAATGTACCGCCTAACCTTATTCTGCCTCACCATTGGCCAAACAGCTTTATTATCAATCAATAAGAGTAACACATATTCACAGCATACAGAAAGTCATCCCACAGCAAGAGAGAGAGTGAGAGAGAGAACAAAAAACAAAAAATAAATTAAATTAAGATAAAATTGAAGAAAGACAAATCCGTGACATGATATTAAAAGATAAAGAACCTCCAAAGATGAGTTTGTTT